TGCGCTCTCCCTCCCACTCCCCCCAACTAGAGGAATGGCAGTGCAGCAAAGATGCCTGGAGGCTTTTCCCTCATTGCTCCAATTGGCTGTAACTGCATCCAATAGGAGCAGCAGGGGGCGGGGACTAGGATTGGCAGGGGGACACAGAGTCATGTGCGTCCCAGGGAACTGTGCCAAGTATGCTTCCACCCCTTCCCCCCAATCATCCAGACCGCCCCCCTTCACTCCTGCACCCTACCTCCTGCCCAGACCCATCTACCCCCAACCTCCTCTGGCACTCTCCCTCCCACCCATACCCCAAACCTGCTTCCTATCAGCCCCCTCCCACACACAATCCCTCAATTCTGGCCCCAATCCAGAGCCTAAGGCAGTTCCACAAGTTTACTAGCCCAGGGCCCCCTAGGTTCTGGTGTGCAAAGGGAATGTGAGGAGTATCTTTCTGCTTCTCAGTTAGGGGCTACCTCAGGTTTGTGCGTTTCACTTTTATACTGACTGATTTTTCTGTGTCAGCAACCCCTCCACACGCCCCAAAGAAAGGTTCCCCACCTCTGCAATGAAGCTTCCTGGAGATACAGGAGCCCTGTATTCCGAGACAGCTAATTTAGCTTACCTGGAGGGCATGCTTGCTGGCACAATATCCCGTGGCGAGGGGGGCTCCCATGATGCCCATTACACTGCTCATGGTCACAATCTTCCCTTTCTCCCTTTGGATCATGTGATTCAGGACATATTTAGTTAAGGAGACTGTACCCAGGTAATTAAGTTCCATTATGGCTTGATAGACATGAGCGCTGGGAACGTCCACCGTTGTTCACCAAAACATCGATCTTCAATAAGGAGAGAACAAATACACAAACACGCCTTTTAACCAACAATGGGTTTTCTCTGAGGGAGCCCAAGTCTTGACCAGCTTCTTTTCCTAATACCTTCTAGCTTTTGTAGCTGCTGCAGAAGATGTGTAAGTACCTCTAGCAGTAGATATCCACAACAATTAAATCCAAGTTGAGCTTTGTCTAATCTTGGTGCTGGATTAGTAAACAGCTAACAAAAAATAGCTCAATATAACTAATGGACCTTGGTTACTGCTGGGTATAGAGGAACACTTTCAGATTGAAACATGTAGCATGTAGATTTTTTTTTTTAAATGCCAATGATCTTGTAGCAAGTGATATCTAAGGCCCTAGACCTGCAAGATGGTCCATGTGAGCTGACCCTTACATCTTCCCAGAGTTCCACTGGAATAAACAGCAGTGTGGGAGAAAAGAATTACAAAAATAGGACTGTAAAACCATAAAACAGACCAGCGGGCTCTTGCAACATTTCAAAACAGAAGTGACCTATCGACTAATTTAATAGTCAATGGAAATTTAATTGACTATTTGATTAGTTGATTAATCTAGTTTTAATATCCCTACTTTCAAGCCATCTCCTGCTAGAACTGGTAGCTGCTCCCCCCGACGCCCGTTGCCTCTGATATAGAGCTTTCCACTTCATTACACTGCCTGGATTTCAGATTGCTGTTGTCCCTTTAACTTCACACAGAGCCAGGCATCTGGAGCACAACACTTATGCACAATATTTGATTTCCTCCCACCACATGCTTGATATGTACAATCAGTTTCTGAGTTACTTACATTTCTGTTGTGCATGATAGCTAACAGATATTACTAACACTGCAAATGAAGCTCTTTCAATTTGATTTATGTTCACTTTTCATATAGGGATGTAAGCAAGTTGTCAGGTTGACTATTTGCATTCTCCCTCTCCCGCCCCGCAGCCTCTGACAGAGGTAGCAAGGGTCGGGGGGAAGCAAGAGCCAGTGCTGGCAGGGGATGGCTTAAAAGTAGGGATGTTAAAATTAGATTAATCAAATAGTTGATAGAATAGTTGATGGAAATTCTATTAATCGATAAAGGCGCTTCTGCTTTGAAATGTAGCAAGAGCCTGCTGGGCTGTTGCTACATTTCAAAGGCAGAAGTGCTGCACTGCGTTCTGCCTTTGAAATGTACAAAAGCCCCAGAAGGAGCTCTTGTGCATTTCAAAGATTGAAACGCCATGTGGAACCTGGAGTGGGGACTCTTGTACATTTCATATGTGGAACTCCACTGCTGCGCCCCTACCCCCCCCTTACAGAGCTGGAGCTGGGGGGGAACTGGCTTTTAAGCCAGCTCCTCCCAGCACTCCTCTTCCCCTTCTCCCCCTCCCACTACCTCTTTCTGATAGAGGCAGCAAGGGGTGGGGGGGGGAGAGAGAGAGACTG